AGAGGCTGGGAGGTAGGAGAATGGGAGGCTGGTCCAGGCTGGGAGGCTGGGAGGTTGGAGACTGGGAGGCTGGTCCAGGCAAGGAGGCTGGGAGGCCGGAGAATGGGAGGCAGTGACAATCATCCCCAGGCTCTCAGGCAAGAAATGATGGATCTCAGGTCAGGGAGAAAGGTTGCAGCAAAGTGGTGGGTCTGAGAATCACTGACTTAGAAACAAGACTATGGACAGATTTAATGATGGAGAGAGAGGAGTGGAGCAGGAGAGCCAAGAATCATTTAGGAGTTTGTTGAAAGCTGGACCAGGGAGAGGAGGGGAGGAGCAGGTAGGAAATGGGTGTCATAAGTTCTAGACATTCTCAGTGTATTAGCCAGCTTTCTGTTACTATCACTAAACAGCTGAGATCGTGCACCTACAAAGAGAAATGGTTCATTGTGGCTCATCATTTGAGGTTTGTTTGTGACTGATTGGCCTTGCAAACAAGGACATTTCCAAGACAGAGAGTGCACAGTGCCAAGGCTACTGGTGACCTCCACAAGGAGCGTGGGGAAGAACCAGGTGGAAAGAACAGAAAAGTGAAAGAAAAGTTATTTCTGGAACCCTCCACTGTAAGTTATCAGAAAATAGTCAGTAAAGAGTCCTGGGCCTCTGGGGGAGTAGGGCCTCGGCACCCAGAGCACAGCTCGCAATGGCTGATGAGTGAATGGGGGGCACCGGCCACCCCAGGATGGAGGGGGCTCCCCCCTGGGCCGTCGCACATGGACAGGCACAGGGCGGTAGCTACAGCCTCTGGGAATGTGTGAGCAGGCAACACCCAGCCCCGCCCAGGGCAGGCTTCCAAGAGCAGGGCCACGTCTGCCAGGGGGCTCCCAGGAACCGCAGGCCCAAGTCGCCCAGGGCAGGGGGTCGGCCTCTCCAACACAGACGCCTCAGGGGCAGTGAGGGGGCTCTCTCAGCTGCTTCCGATGGGGCCCCATTTCTTAAAGGTTCTGCCACCTTCCAGAGTGCCACAGGGTGGGGACACTTGGGCCTAAGAGGGGACAGAGGATCAGCACACAGACATGTGAGAAAGGCCCACTTAGACCCTCCCACTCAGTCCTGACAACAGATAGATATAGTCATGTGAGTGACCCCAGGTAAGACCAACAGAAGAACTGCCCACATCAGCAGCTCAAATTTAAAAAGAACCATGTGCCAATAAAAACAGCTGTTGTTTTAAGCCAAGTGCAGTAGCTAGGCCTATGATTCCAGAAACTCAGGAGCCTGAGGCAGGAGGATCACAAGTTCAACCTAGGCAACCTAGCAAGGCCCTGTCTTGAAATAAAAGAAAAATTTAAAGGATAGGGGTGTAGCTCAGTGGTAAAATGCTCCAGGTTCAATCCCCAGTACAACCAGGGGGAAATCTGCTTATTGTTTTCAGCTGCCAAGTTTGGGGGTCGCTAGGTAATAGTGCTTAAAACTGATAAAACTTCTCACTGAGTCAAGGCCTTCCCTTTGGACATCGCAATTGTCCAAGTTTATGAGGTTTGGGGCGTTTTGATACAAGTACCCAAGTGTTCCAATCCAATCAGGGTGACTAGCCTTGTCCTGTGCAAAAAAAAAATGAATTCTAGGTGGATCATATCAATCGCTAAATCTCAGTTTCTAAAAGAAAATGTCAGAGGATATAAACAAGAGCTCTGTGAACAGCTGGGTTTCTTTGGACACACAAAAAGTGGAAATGGTAAAGAAAAATCGGATAAATTTAATTAAATTAAAAACTGGAAACTTTTGTTTTGAAAATGGAAGGACAAGCCACAGAGAGGCTTGTGGCTTTCCAAGCAGACGATGGGCAAAGGTTCGGCATGCAGAGGATGTGGAGGACGCCTACCTGTCCACCAGAAAGACCCAACAAGAGCTGCACAGGCCTTCCCCGAAGGGAGAACACAGATGGCGGACAATACATGCAGAGCAGGCACCTCACAGTGATGAGACCAAAGCAGACGGAACAGCGAGAAGCAGCCTCCTGCCTCCAGATCGGGGGATTAATCAGTGAGTCTCACGAGTCATCAGGAAAATGAAAATTAAAACAACAACCGACAGATCATAAAAACTGTTATGGCTGCAGCAGAATCTGCTTCCAGTCACGTGGAGTGGCTTCCGGGCACACGTGCCTCACAGATGACCACGGCAGAACATCCAAGGCAACCGTTGGAAGGTGCGGCCAGAGCCGGCTGACCCTGGAGGACGAGGTGAGCCGGGGGACGCACACGCTGCGGCTTTCTGTTTCAGGGCTCCTTGGCCCGTGCAGGCTGCAGTTTGATTGGTCTGAGATGACCAGGGACAGAGTTCAGAGCTGGGAAAAGGGGACTGCAGGAAACTCCCGAGACGGAGCCACAGAAGCCGGCAAGATCCAAAATGTGTCCATTCGATCCACTGAAGTCCTCGGCTGACCATTGACATACCATTCATGGGGAAGATGAGGTCGTCTGAAAAAGCAGAGACGTCAGGTCAGAGAGGAGGAGGTACAATTTGAAGTCTGAACCCAACCTGTTGCTAAAAATAATCCAACCCCTTCAGAAGAACATAACTAAATCCAGCATCTCTATAACTGGGAGTTTGAGGCCAGCCTGGGCAACATAATGAGATCCTGGCTCAAACAACAGGAGAGGAGAGGAGACAAAAAGAGAAAAGAGGAGAAGAGAGAAATAGAAATTTTAGAATTGAAAAATGCAATAACTGAAAAGAAAAATCATAGCATAATGGAATAGAAGGGTCAGCACAATCCAAGACAGACTATAAATCATCTGACAAAACAGAAGAAAAGTGAGCAGAGCCTCAGTGACCTACAAGATGGTATACAGAAGGCTGCGGGGTATAACTGGAGCCTTGGAGGGGAGAGGCACACTACCATGTGGGTAAGAAACAACTACTCTCCTCAGCCCCCAGGGCTCTCTCCAGCCGCAACGTCCTAGGTCCATGAACTATGGCAGAAATCAGGGCTAGAGTTGCTTTAGTTCAAGCATCAGTGACCAACAGGAAAGGCCCCATTTCCTTTGCTTTGGCACCAGAACTGGACAGGGTGACCCTGCTGTTGGTTAGCCAGTCTTGGGGTGCAAGATGCTTTTTTCTTGGTCATGCTAACCCTGAGTTAAACATCAGCCCTGTGAGTATGGATGGTAATGATCCCCGTCTGGACACAGGGATGGAGTGTGGGCCTTATCATCTGTTATGGGCTGGATCTGAATGTCCCCAAAAGCTCAGTGTGTCAAAGGCTTGGTCCCCAGTGCAGTGAGGTACAGAGCTGGGCTTTGGGGTTGGATGGTGGGCTCCGACCTCAACGCTGCGTCATCCCTTGAGAGCTGAACGGACTCCTGGGAGGAGGTAGCAGTGGAAGGCAGGAGGGACGTGGCTGGAGGGTGCTGGTCACTGGGGACACGCCCTGGGGCTTTACCTGCCCCACCATGATGTGCCCCCCTGCCTCGGGCCACAGCAATGGGGTCGACCGATCATGAGACTGAAACCTCCAAAACTGGAGCTGAAATGAGTCTGTCCTCCCTGAAGTTATTCTTCTCAAGTATTTTGGGGACAGTGATGGAAAGTGACCCAGAGATGAGCCCCACCTCACAGGGCAGGGAAGGAACCTGAGACCTGGCCAGAGTCGGTCAGTGGCCCCAGTCTGCCTGCTCCGGGTCTCTGGGTGCCATCGCCTCTCTCCTGCACCTGGGGGAGATGGGCTTCATACAGGGAGTATCCAGTCCCAAGGGGCCCGAGAAGGCAGGACACAGTGGCCACCGTGGTCAGAGCCTGAAGGCCAGTGCTGACCCGCAGGTGAGGAGGTCGCCAGTCCCTAAAGAGGACATTCAGTCCTAACTCCTTCACTCAGATGTCAGGGGAGTCCCAGGGACCGGGTGGCTGAGGCAAGAGGATCCTAAGTTCCAGGCCGGCCTCAGCAACTTGGCCAGATTCTGTCTCAGAAACCAAAGGGACTGGGAATGGAGCTGTGGCAGAGCCCCAGGGCTCATTCTCCTGTGTATGACCTTCCTGGCTGTGGCTGGGTTCCCGTCCTGCTGGTTGCTGTGGCTCTTGGGCGCCTCCTGCCGGGCTGGTCTGGCAGTGCCACGCCCTGGGCTCCTGGGAGCCTGCAGGGAGACGCCCGAAGCAGAAAAGTACTTGGAGCGAGGGTCCAACGCTGCGCGGTAAGGGGCTGCTGCGGCGGGAGCTCCTCCAAACGGGCGCTTCGGTTTCTCTCCAGATGAGCGCCGGGCAGCTCTGCTGGTCACGCGCGCAGCGGCGGCCTTCTTTCTGGGTGGCCGAACCCACGACGTGCTGCAGGACCTGTACCAGGCCTTCCGCGAGAGCCCGTCCGCGGCGCGGAGGCAACTCCAGGCGGTGCTCTCAGCCACAGACCAAGAACGCATCCGAGTCCAGGCTCAGGAGACCGTGGACTTGGGCTTCGCCCACTTCCAGGAGGCTGTCCGGAGTCGCCCCCAGCTCCGCGAGGATGCGGGACGTGAGCTGCTGGTCCCGGTCACCCACGCGCTCCGCCTCCTGCTTCGCTTGGAGCCCGCAGGGCAGCGAACTGTGCTGGGCACCCGCCTGGCGGAGTGCCTGCTGCTGGCCGGGGACGTGGCAGGCGCTCGGGCGCTGTGCGAGCGCCTCCTGAGGCCCAGGCACCCCGGAGAGCTTGCTGGGGACAGTGGGCCCGTGAGGGCGCTGCGTGGCTTCTGCGCGCTGCACGTGGGCGACACGCGCGGCGCCAAGGAGGACTTCCAGGCGGTGGTGAAGCAGGGGGCTCCGCATCCTGGCGGCTGTGTGCGGGCGCTGTGCGGCCGTGGGCTGCTGCGGGCGCTGGCCGGCAGCGCCTTCCTGGGAGCGCTGGATTATGTCACTGCGTGCCGGCTGCAGCCCGAGGAGGCACTGATGACCGCCAAGGCCTACGTGCCCTGGAACCAGCGCGGACTGCTGCTGACCGTGCTGCTGGAGGAAGGCCGCAGGATGCTGCTGCGCGGGTGTGGCCCTGGCCCTGCGGACGTGCCCTCCTGCAGGAGCAGAGCTGCTGAGATGGACGGCCCTGGGGCACAGGAAGGGTGAGAGCTGGCCCCGCCCAAGAGGGGCTGCCACTCCATTCGGGTCTCCTGGGAGGTAGAGGGTGTTTGTTCCTGTTTACAGGTGAGTAAAGCCAGGCAGCCTATCTGGGTGGTTTCCCTGAGCATCCAGGACGATTCAGCCCCAGATCTGAGCTTAGGGTCTCAGTCTGTGAGCATCCTGCACTGTGGGCTTCCTGTCCCTAGGAAATCAGAGACCCAGACATGGAAAGGAAACAGTAAAACTCAACGTGTCAGCCCGCTGCCGCATTTCTGTCTAGAGGTTTCTTTTTGTGCATATACAACACATCTGTGTGTAGTTTGTAGTCTACTTTCTTGCTCCAATAGATGATGAAAGTCCTTTGTTGGTAAAAACGCCTCCAGGCAGCAGTGTGCGTCCTGAGGCCACTGGCCAGTACTCCTTCCTTCAGCCCCGGGTCGTAAGGCATGGTGGGAACATCCTGTGTCCACCACAGTCTCCTCCTTCAGTGAGAGTGGAGCTCCTGGTGGAGAGCAGCTCCAGGGCAGGGTCCTGGACCTCTGAGCTCCCTGCCCTGCCCACTCGGCACAGCCCCCACCCCTGCCCTGGGGCTTCCTGCACAATCCTTGCTAACCGAGCAGGCACCGGCCTCTGGCTGCTCCAGTGTGCACTCTGGTGGGTCGCTGGGAGGTGGGGGAAGGCAGCGAAGTGAACAGCCTCCAGACAGGGGCCTCCAGACAGGACCCTCCAGACAGGACCCCCCAGACCGAGGCCTCGGCCCATCACTACAGCCACCCGATGCTGCCTCTACTCCAGGCCTCATTGGACGTGTGCTTGCACCTGCCGGTGGGGTGGAAGGGTTACCAGCAGGTTGACTTTGGCTGTGCCGATGAAGAAGGGACCTAGAACTGACCACAGATGAGCTTCTCCCGAGGGTCCACTCAAGTCCCAGGCTCCGGCCTCTTCTGGAATGGAAGCTCAGGACATTTCCATGTGGACACCAGGAGCATCCCAAGTGCATCCTGCCTGCCAAGAGCTCACCCCTGAGCCCAGCAGGGCCAAATTGTTAACCCACATTTTTGCAGAAAAGGAAATCCTGAGGTCTACTCAGGGTCAGTGCTACTACTGACCGATATGTGAACTCAGTTCCTCCTTCTGGAAATGCCTACCCGTGGGGTGATGGGAAGACCCAGCGGGAGGGTGAGGGCTGAGGGGCCATGCTGGAAACAGCAGCATGGACTTGGGTACAGTGTGGTGTGAGGGTCATTCCTCAGCTCCACCCTGCCCTGGCCACACAGCAGACAGTGGGCTGTGAGCTGGCCCAACCTGCTGAGCAGCTGGGCGGGGCCTAGGGAAGGGGCTGGCCCACCCTGAGCCACTCTTTCCACAGGGATGCCCATGGCGTGTACCAGCTGGCCACGATGCTGATGGAGCTGGACGTGGAGGACGAGAACTCACAGCTCCTGGCAGCCGATGCCCTTTACCGCCTGGGCCGCCTGGACGATGCCCACAAATCCCTGCTGGTGGCCCTCTCCCGGAGGCCCCAGGCAACCCCCGTGCTGGCACGGCTGGCCCTGCTACAGCTGCGTAGGGGCTTCTCTTACGATGCCAACCAGGTGAGAAGGCTCAGGTGCACTGCTGCAGGGCAGGTGGAAATGGGCATAGCTCTGCGGAGGGCAGCAGGCCTCCCGTGGACCCCGCTCAGCACCTACAGCCTGGACTTTGGAGCAGGAAAACCTTGTTCAGCCCCAGCTCTGCTTCCTGCAGCAGGCTCTTACCTCTCTGACATCAGTCTGTTCATCTACGCCCCGGTCCTGCAGGTTGTCTTGGTAATTAGCTGGAACAGGTGCCCTAAGGCCTGGCAGGTTGGCTTCGGCTGTGGTTATGAAGGAAGGACCTAGAACTTACCACAGCTGAGCTTCTCCCCGAGGGTCCCACACAAGCTAAGCTTGGACATGGTCCTGTTGAGGTGGGGGGTCCCAGGCCTTCAGCCCCTGCCTGCCTGCCTCCAAGACCCCTCAGCTCCTGGGATGGCAGAGCCTCTCCTGCCTCCCTGTGTGGAGGCTCCTGCTTGGGCCAGAGGCAGCTGGTGATGTTGAGGAGGGCTTCAAACCCTGGAGTGCAGGAGGCGACACCTGCCAGCCGGGTTCTGTCCTGTGCTGGTTGGAATCCTGACCCCTTTGCCCTGGGCAGAGAGTAGGAGGGAGGGACACCCTGGAACTTGCTATCCTTCCACCCTGCCCTGGGGCCAGTGTGTGCACCGGAGGCCAGAAGGGGGCAGTACTGGGTCTCCTCAGGCAGAGCCGCGGAGGGAGAGGTTTGTCTGCCTGGGGTCTTGCACTGCCCAGAGCAGACTGGCCCTGCCTGGCCGGCCCTGGGATCCTTCTCCACACCTTTGGATGGCTCCCTGAGCCTCTATGGTTCGAAGCCCCTTCCTGGTCAGGCCTCCCTCCTGGAGGCTCGTGGAGGTGAGTCTCCCCTCCATGGTCAGAGGAGGTCCAGGCTCAGGGACGTGAGGGCTCCACCCTGCCCTGGCCACACGGCAGACAGCGGGTTGCGAGTGCAGCTGGAGCCCCCTCATTCCTCCCACCTGGCCCTGTGGTCCAGCTGGGGACCAGACCCTGCCTCGGGGAGCCCCCCACTACCAGACGGGGGGACAGGCAGAGAGGCCCCTGGGCTGGAGGAGACGGGGCCGGTGGGCAGGGCGTGCTGGCCAGGGGGCAGTGAGCAGGAGCCAGAGGCAGGAGGTGGTGGCAGCGACTCTCTCGGGCCCCAGCAGCTGGTGAAGAAGGTGGTCCACTCTGGGGACACAGCCTGCCTGCAGCCCACCCTGGACGTCTTTCGCCACGAGGACCGGCTGCTGATGCAAAGCCACTGCCACGCACGGGCCCTGAGCATCCTGCGAGCGAAGCCCAGCGGGGTGGACAGGGAGGCCCACACCAGGGAGGCCATCGCCTACCTCTCTCTGGCCATCTTCGCTGCGGGTAGGAGGACCCCTCCTGCCCAGGGTCCAATCCTGTGCCAGCTACATGGAGACACGGGGCTGAGGACAGCTGGCTTCCCAGGTCCATGGGCCCTGGGAGCCCCTGTGGGATGGACAGTGGGGCCACTCACTGAGGCACTGGAGGTCCAGGAGAGCATGCCACGGCCCAGGAAGGATCTGGGCCAGCTGGGGCCTGAGCTGTGCCCTGCCTGGCTCCTGGGCTGCTGTCCATGCTGTCTCGGCCCCGGGACGAACAGACCCTTTCCCAGCTCCTCCTCTCCCTCCAGTGAGGGGACCCGAGATGCTGGCTCCCCTCAGACCTCCCAGAAATAGTGCCTGAGGCTTCAGGTGCCCACGCAGTCTCCAGGCAGGCCGAGCTGCCACCGGGGGCTGGGCACAGGGAGGCTGCTGCCCTGCTTTGGCCCCAGGTAAGGGCCCGGCCCCGTGCGTCTTAGAGTGGGGTGTTCGGTGCTGTGTGGGGCGCGAGGCTCAGAGGAGGGAGGGTCTCTCTCAGGCTCACGGCAGGCTCCTGGGTGCAGGGCGCTGGTCAGACCCACGGTCAGACTGCAGGGGCTTCCACCTGCCCTCGAGCAGGTGCCAGCAAGGCTGCGTGAGGCGCCTGTGACGGCCGGGAAGGGACAGGCTGAGAGCAGCCTCAGGTCGCTCTCCCCTGCATCTGGCGCTGAACAGACACCCAGAAGCGGGTGGTGGTGTCCTCTCTGGGGAGGGCCTCCTCCTCCTGGCGGGTGCAGAGCCTCACACGTCCCCCAGCCACCCCGGAAATCCCCATCCCCCTCGCCTGGCCTCACTTCGGAGGGAGGGCAGTGCCCCTGCCTCTTCAAGGTCCCCCAGTGTCCACCAGTCCTCCCAGATGCCGCCCTCCTAGAGGGCTCCCTCCCCCTGCTGCCCGTGACCTGCCCGGCCCTGCTGCCCAGTGGGGTGTGAGCTCCCCACTGTGGACCCCCCAGCCTGGGCACCAGGAGGGACACTGGACAAGTGGCCAGCCACAGCCATGTCCTAACCATGCCCACTTCCTACAGGGACGGAGGCCAGTGAGTCCCTACTCGTCCGAGCCCGCTGCTACGGGCTCCTGGGCCAGAAGAAGACCGCTGTGTTCGACTTCAACTCCGTGCTGCGGGCCAAGCCGGGGAATGTGCAGGCTCTGTGTGGACGGGCCCTCGTGTACCTGGCCCTGGACCAGCTGCAGGTGCCAGGCCACTCTCCCCTCTGGGGCTGGGCAGGTGGGGCAGGGAGGCCAGGGCAGTGCCTTCCTCCTGCACCCAAGGAGTGCGAGCAGGGCCAGGTGTCACGAGCCGTGACGTGCCATCAGAACCCCCTCCTCCTCACCTGCACTGCAGGCCGCAGGAGCCGCACCCACAGGGCCACCTCCAGGAGCCCCACTCTTCCACGACTCCTGCACGGACACCCAAGCCCTAAGGGTTGATGGGGCCTCCCCAGCTTAAAATATTCCTTAATGGCTGCAGGTGTCCCTCTACAGGGACGTAGGCCACGAGGGTCCCCTCCACTGCACGGTCTGCTGCACAGAGCCCCGTGTTAAAAAGGATTCACAGGACGGGTGCAGAAGGAGTACGTCCTGTCTGCCGTGGGTTCGGCCAGCAGAGCCCTTGGAACTTTGATCTGACCTAAATTACCTGCTTTTTAGGAGAGAAATGATATACTTAAGACCCTCTGCAGAAACTGCTCCAATTCAGGGTAAAATGTTGGGAGCCAGGCGGACAGGAGGAGAGGTCTGGGTCACAGCAGCCTGTGTCCTCGAAGACAGTTTCTGCTTGTTGCTTTGTGGACACTCTGTTTGCACACTCCCTGTGTGTGCGGAAGGGCACCCTCTGGGGTCTGCTCCTGGGCAGGGGTGTTGGGTCCAGGGTCGGAGGGCAGCCTCAGGCCGATCACTCGGCCTCTCGCGCCCAGTTTGCTCTCCGTAGAAGTGGGTTGCTAAGGAATCACCAGGGCTCAGGCAGCACTTGGGGATGGATGGAGGTTAAATCACAGCGCACCAGACGCACGGGACAACGCAGGCAGGACCAAGGGACGTTCACGGCCACAGCCGTGCACATTACAAGACAAAGATCCCAAGTCACCAATCCAACGATTTAGGGAACTACTGAACCCAAAGCAGGCAGAAAGAAAGAAAGGAGTAAGGTTGGAGATAAAGACAAGACTAGAAAAACAGTAGAGAAAATTCATGAAACCCAAAGTCGAACCCCTCGGAAAAGTCAAAGCGGACAGACCATTAGCTGGATGGACTTAAAAGTCCCAGTGACTCAAGAGGGTGGCACGTTCAGGGCCAGGCTCAGCAGCTTAGCAAGGCCCTGTCTCAAATAAAAATAAAAAAATTAAAGGGCTGGGGATTCGGCTCAGTGGTTAAGAGCCCTTGGGTTCAATCCCTGGTACGAGAGAGAGAGAGAGAGAGAGAGAGAGAATTCGGATCTCTAAGCCCAGCATGAGGTGGGTCATGAACACCCGTCCTACAGGAGAGGAACACAGGGAGGAACAGCTCAGCAGGACAGCTGACAAGCAGGTGGACAAAGCAAGAGGCTCGGGAAGAAAAGCCTAGGGACACTCAGGGCCACTGACAAGGCTGTGCTGGTCGCCGGACGAGTGTGCAAGGCCCTGGACCTGCGCGGCCCCGGGGGAGTCTCCAAACAGTCAGAGACTCAACAACAAAAAGCAAAGAAGAGGGAGAAGTTCCTAAGTCACCCAGAGGCCAGCGACACCCGACCCCAAGACCAGGCCGACAGTCCGGGAAAACCTGAGGAGGGCCCTGACGGACACCAGTGGCCGTGCGCCAGGAGGTGGGATGGGTCCTCGGCACGTGAGGCGGTCCAACATGCCGTCCCCGCCAGGGTCCCCGCATTGCAGAGCACAGGAAGCAGGTGGTGACCACGGAGCAGGAGCAGCACAGGACGGATCCAGCCGCTTCTGTTGAGAACTCCCCGCAGAGCAGGGTGGAAGGAAGGACCTCGGCGTGACGAGAGCGCGTGTGGGAGCCCACGGCAGACGTCTCACCAGACGGTCAGGCGGAAGGCTCTCCTCAGGGTGAGCGGCAGCAAGGCCACCTCCACCCCGCCCAGCGCTGACACTCAGGTCAGCTGCCGGGAGGGAGGAGTCCCCCAGAATCTACCGGCAGTCACAGATCCAGGAGAGTGGCAGGCCACCAGGGGCACCCACGGACCCCAGAGTGATTCGCACTCACGACCACAACCTGAGAGGACATTCAGAAAGCGTCTCAATGACAAGAGCGTCCGATGACCAAATATCTAGGTTAACCCCCAGGAAGTCAAGGATGCATAGGGGGGCGACTAGGAGGCATAGCCCAAAGAAACTGACAGATCAGAGTGTTTCACATTGTCACCGTGTCTGGGTTACCCTGTAGGCAGGAGCGCTCAGTGCAGACTCGGTGCAGTCCCTACCAAAATCCCCACGAGGGACTTGGGCGGGGCTCCATGGTGGAGCGCTTGCCTCGCTCAGTGAGGCACTGGGTTCAATTCTCTGCACCACAAAAATAAATACATAAAGATCTTATGTTGCCAGGTGCGGTGACCACGCCTATTATCCCAGCAGCTCAGGAGGCTGAGTCAGGAGGATCGCGAGTCCAAAGCCAGCCTCGGCAAAAGCAAGGCACTAGGCAACTCAGTAAGACCCTGTCTCTAAATAAATACAGTACAAAATAGGGCTGGGGACGTGGCTCAGTTGTTTACTGCCCCTGAGTTCAATCCCCGGGACTTAAAAAAATAATCGTGTCCATCTACAACTAAAAATGTGTATTTAAAAAAATGGTTTTTTATGGAAATAGAAAAACTCCCCGCAGAATTAATTCATATGGAGCCTCAAGGGACTCCAAATAGGCAAAACAGTCTAGAAAAAGAACAAAGCTGGGGCCTTAGACCCTGCCCTCTCAGTCACGGTGAGCATCGCAGTGTGCTGCTGGCACGAGGCCCCTGTGTCTGCAGGGCCCGGCGGAACGAGAGCCCAGAAATAACCCTCCACCCGTGTGGGCAGGCAACTTTCGGCAAGCCAAGACCAGCGGGGGAGAAAACTATTCTCAATACACGATGCTGGGGGCCTGCATCCACATAAAATGCACCTGGAGCCTCATCTCACTCCACACGCAAAAAGTAACTCAAAATGGATAAGAAGTCCAGATGTAGTCATGCCTGTCACCCCAGCAATCCAGGAGGCCGAGGCAGGAGGACGGCAAATTTGAGGCCAGCCGCAGCGATTTATCAAGACCCTGTCTCAAAAAATTAAGTAAATAAAAAGGGCTGAGGCTGCAGCTCAGTGATAAAGTGCCCCTGGGTTCAATCCCAGGATGGAAACAACAACAACAACAACAACAACTAACCATAGACCTCAGACTTCAGACCTGTTAGAAGGACTCACGGGAAATGCTGCACGACTTTAGATTTGGCCAGTTTCTTAGACTGACACCAAACCAGGCAACAAAGGAAAAAGTAGACCAATGAGACTTCAGGAATCCTGAGCCCCGTCGTGCATCAAGGGACCGAGCCTACGAGCAGGTCACCAGGCCACCCCCGGCCAGGCCTGCCATCGACGCACCCAGCAGCCCAGCTCACAGGGGCCAAGGGCTTGAACGGAACTGCCCAGAGGGCCAAGAAGCCCAGGAAAAGACGTCCAGCGTCACCGTCCTCAGGGAAACGCTCACTAAGCTAAGGGATGCCACCATGCACCCGTCAGGAGGGTAACAGTCAAGACTCTGAAGTGACAGGTGTGGTTGGGGAAACTAGCCTTGTGGAACTGTTGGCAGGAGTGCTCAATGGCTGGGCCACCAGAAAGAAGACCATTGGGCCTGACGCTGGAGCATCACGCCTCACGGAGAGCCCTGGTGGCCACTGATGGAGGAACGGAAAAGCAGAACAGTCCACCACTTGGGGGGAATATTATTCAGCCCAAAAAAAGGAAGGGGATTCTGACACACACTGCAGCAGATGAGGCTTGAGGACGGGGCACTCAGTGCAGGAAGCCAGCCAGAGACGAGGCCCTGAGGGAGGCACTCCTGGGAGTCCCTGCAGTAGGCATAGTCATGGGGACAGAAACAAGAGGAAGGACTGAGCAGGGGCCGGGCCAGGAGTCCTCCTCAGTCTGCAGGGATGCTGCGTGAGGCCTGCACTGCACACGCCCAGAGCACGGCAGAAGCAGAGGTCACCTGCGCTGGGCCCACAGCTGAGTCGTGGCCAGGGCCAGGCAGGGCTGGGGATGCTGGAGTCAGCCTGCTCTACCCAAGAGCAAAGCCACACCTGGCCAGACCATAATGGCCCCTCCCCGGGTGACGGAAATGTCCACCAGAACAGAACCAGCACCGCCCAGCCCCAGAGCACAGGTCAAGAGCACGGGCCGCAGAGACCCAGGAAAGTGTGATGCGACCAGGAAAGCGCTGCTCAGCAGAAACAGGCCCTGGGCGGCTCCGGGCCGGGAGCCCAAGGCCCCACGAGCCTGGCTTAAGGGCAGTGGGAGGCCTCCAAAGAAGGGCCAGTGAGGAGAGCCCCTGAGGCCCAGCGGGGAGGCTGTGTCTAGAAGGGGTGCTCCAGGGGCTCTGAGGCTACGACCAAGCCGGCTCCACCCTGGACTCCCAGAGGAGCGGAGAGAGGGGCGGACACACGCTCCCAAGGAGCAGGGACGGGGACCTCGAGACAGAGAGGTCCTTTCCGAAGGCAAAGGAAGAGGCAGCAGCTCAGGAGCGGCTGCAGGGAAAGGAGCCCCAGTTGGTGGCGTCCAGCCCCTGAGGAGGCGAATCCCGCGGGAGCCAGAGCCCTCGGAACCACCCCTGAGGCCCGCAGCTCGCCCACTGCAGGAGGAGGCGCCCGCGGGGTGGTCCTCATCGGTACCCTTTGGACAAGCAGATGAATGGGATCCTCTGACTGTGATGGCTCAGGAAGATGGCGCCTTAGAGCTCCAA